TGAGGCTTATAAGTGGTGTGAACTGTTCAGTATATGTAGTTGCAATCACTTTTTATGTCTTACACAGCTTTAACACTGTATTCTTGGCTGATTGTGTCCTGGTACAGTAATGTACAATGGAAATTTACACAAATCAGAAGCAAGCGAGGGATTAATCTTGGAGAATGGCAGCAGACTATGAATGAAGTGTGTCATGATGCTAGGCTTACAGGGATAAGCTGGGAGATGCACCAGCCTATCGCAGACATCCCATACAGTCACATGACAGTATTAGCCAATCACAGTGCATAAGCCTATGGTCCAAGTTACTGTGGTCTTCCTACCCGGGCACCCAGCACGTGAGGATGCAGCAGAGCACAATGCAATCTTTCAGAACTCCTGGAACTTTTGTCCCCTGACCTCGAACAGAGAAGTTTGGAGTGATTTTCTGGAAAATTGCCAGAAAATGCAGCTGTTTTTCATCCCTAAAAACTCGTTCACAAACCCGGAACTGAGAGAAGTGTTCTGGAAAAATTACGGGCCGATTTCAATTCCGAATATTGCAGAGTTCCAGGGAGCAGGGATTCCGGCTAAATTTGTCCTGTAATATGTAATAATATTTCAATGTGTCTTATTTCACAGATCAGACCTCACAATTAGACTTGATCTACGAAGGAAAAATGCAGATTTATTTATTTTTTTTTATTAAAATGAGGCTTACCTTATAAACAATTGACTAGTGTTTCCATATCTGGAATCTTCAGTTACAGCAATGATTAATTATTATATTACAAGCTATCTAGTTTGTGATTAGAATTCATATTCCACATAGAAACCTTCTTTATTGTTATTATACCGATCTATGAATATAAAACCATAAACAATGTGAGTTCCACATATTCTACATAAAGTATTTCCTTCCCATTCCAGTGACTCAGGAAAATCCAGCATAAATGTGCAGTTGGCCCAGTATCAACATAAAAAATAGATATTAATCAGAAGCAGCAAGAAGACGGAACATTTACCTGACAGTGTTCTAAAACAATATTTATGAACCATTATAGTAAAAAATTAAGGAAAGCAAGTTAAGGAAGGTGCCAGAAAATGTAATTATTTGAAAGAAATACCTGTAATGTACTGGAAAGGTCATGTTTAGGAGAAAAAACAAAAACAATATTGACATGAATGTGAAGTAAATACCTGTAACAAGAAAACATGATGCGATACTTTTAAAATGATTTATATGACACAAACAAGTAATATTTGCCAATGTTCACAGATATTATTTTCATTGTCTACCTGAGACATATACCGCAGTGCTTAAGCTATACCATACTGCATTGCATGCATGTTTACACAGGCACCTATTAAAATTGTAGTTGGATTTATGTTAAAATTTGCATCCAAATAAGAGGTGTTTAACTGTCACAAACATCTACCGTATAACCAGTGATATTTCTATTTTTTTTTTTACAGTACTGTACTTACAATGGCAATATTATTTATTATTTAAAAGACAGTGGAGTGTGTAAAGGCTCGCTTAGTTACTTGGAATGTATATCGCTTCAATGCATATAATACAAAAATTGCCACACAACAGTGTTATCTTGAATCACAAAAACATAAGTTTTGGCAATCGAGTAAAAATTGTTGTACCTGTACAGTAGTACAGTAACTAAAAAAATTGTGTTAGGTGGAGATTTAAGTACAGCTGCGAAATGAATAAGTTAGATGCTTGAAATAAAAGGTAAATTCAGATATACTGTGTGTGTGTGTGTGTGTGGAGAGAAAGAGCCAAAACATTCCATAATATACTATACTTGTAAATACATATACACAAACCAAAATTTACAGCCATTAGCAGTATACAATATGAAATAAATAAATAAATACAGTATATACAGTACAGTATACCACAATAATGAAACCCAACAGCTTAAAATGCAGCTAGGTGCAGGGAACATCCCTCTAAACAAAATAGAGCAATCATTACTTCAGGTAATAATATGTAGTGATAGAATACTAATCTATGGAGTATTAGGGTGGTACTTGAGCTTAGTACATGAGCTCAAATGATGCTCTATGGTGAAGCCCATTCCGAATCAACTTGTACTGACCACCAAATTTGGAGCGCTTTGTGCATTTTATTCCAGTAATATATTTAGCACAGGAAAAAGCTATTCAATGAACAGAGGATACCTATCTGTGGTAGTTAACAGCTGAAACCCTGTCTCCATACAGAAGGAAATTGAGGCAAATTCCAAGAGGAGTGAGGATAATTTCATATTATCATGGGATAAATCAGGGCTCTGCAGGCACCATCACACTGAGGAATATGGTTAATTTTTCAGCTGGTTATATATCATATTGATAATTATTTGCCAATTTGTAAAATATCATCTCTATGGAAAGCCTTTTGGGTTGAGAAACTCTTAAGTACTTTGCACATAAGAATAAATAATGCTTACAACAACTATCATCAGTATTCAAGGAATGGGGAAGATAATTACATATACTTAAAACAGTACAGTAATTAGTTTGCAAAATGGAATTAACAATACCATAGCACCAAAGTAAGCTTAGATGCATACAATATATCTTTTATCAACTCACCCTAACAATCTTGTTCTGATCATACAACTTATTGATATACACTCAACAGACAAAGCTATGAAAAAAAAATCCCCCCACACAAAACAAGAAAACACTGTTGACACATTATATTGCAGGTTTAACACTTAGTCATTAGTCGTATGAAAAGCTACCACCGTACAGTACTGATATACAGTATACAGTCCTGGTATATAAAAATCTATTATATTTATTCCTATAACACTAGGAAAAGAAACTGTTGTGATCAGCATGATTTTACACCATTAACCTGATAACTGCGACATACATTCTTGAATGATAAGCGGAATGCGACATACATTCTAAAATTCAGAGCATTTTGAATGCAGCGCGCAAAATTTTTTATATCTCGTGAGGTCAAGTATGGGATGTTTACACTCGCCAGTTTCTTGAGTACCCTCACCAAGACATGTGTTTTCTCTATCCTCCGTTTCATAAACCGAACGAAATCTCATGTTGATGTATATATACAGTACTGTATTTAAAATTATGAATGCATACATGTGTTACTGTATGATATATATATACAGTACTGTATTTAAAATTATGAATGCATACATGTGTGTTACTGTACGATATATATATCTACTTATAGCTGAAACATTCAAGATCCATTGACAGTGAAGTTGAAAGCTTCACTATATTTATTTTTAGTGAAATTGTCAAAGAAGTCGAGTGTTGGGGTGAGCAACAGAGGTTATAATCCTTTTTCCGCCCTATGAGAGACTGGTGGCCAAACTAAAGTACAGGGTAAATAATGGTCCCATATTTGGTTATACATGTTTTTTTGCGCACACACTGGGGCGTTGATCGGCGAATTACTCTACCGCAGTTATCGGGTTAACCTTAGCTTTGAGTGACCCAACATACAGTCATGTTACATCTTACGCGCATTCAAATTTACGTGCTTGGCTAAAGAAAACAAAAATGCAGTAAGGGTAGAAGCGTACAGCTGGGGGAAATCCTTCCACCCGCGCCTTTCTCGGCCTCAGTTGCCATGTGTACTGAGCAGGAGAGGGGGTTTGTTTTGTGTGCCTCTGCCGACTGACCCTAAGCTACTTTTATCTTATTTTTCCAACTAACGCCAATCAATCGGTGTTGTGATTTACTTCTTCTTGTGACAATTTTATATTAATTGTGTCGTTCAAATGTCAGTCATACTCTCATTATGTCATCCAATGTAGGGATCAAGCCAAGGTTACATGCAGTAGACCCTATGACAAGACCCTTATCATGGAGGGTGATTAAGCATTCTCTTATGAACCAATTATTCCTCACATTCATCCTTAGTTTTCTGGCTACCATTCTGAGGGACAATACAGCTTGGAGGATTCTAATATCATTGTGAACCCCAGTCACCAAAACACACACTGTCCCATGTCATGATTATCTAATAATGATGTAACCTATTATGTCAAATACCCTGTAATGTAAAACTTGATTGAGTAAATTGTTTTGTGAATTTATTAACAAAACCATGACATCTTTCCCTCGTCCTTATTGAGAAATAGAAATATCAGAGCTCGATTACTGAACTGCGAGGGTGCTTGTTTTTGTGTGTGTGTAGGGAGGGATACAACAGTATCATGAAAATAAAAATTATTTCCGACAGCATTAATGATCGTTCCATTTTCTGTTTAAACTTTACTCTACCTTTTATGACAGCAATAAATACGGCATAGAGTGAACTGGTCACTGTCTCCCTAAATTGAAATAGGCCTAACCAGCCATGGTGTCATATACGCTATTGACAAACCTCTCACTGCTTCCACACAAAATGCTCTTGCTCTTCGTATTTCTTATTTTATATTATATTTTCTTTATTTCTAAGTTCCATTTGAGTATTGAAATGATTTTTACACAATTTTTATAGCTTCATTGTATATACCAATGGCAACTTGCATTACCCTTTCCCTCCCTCACTCCTAAGGCAGGGAGGGAACTGGTAAAGACTTTTAAATTGCCGCTGTATGGATACCCCCTCTCACTCTCTCCCCCATCCCCCTCTATCTACTCATCCTTCCCTTCCCCTTCCTCGTCCCCTACCCCTCTACCTACTCTTCTCTTTCCTCTCTCACTCTCACCCCATTTCCTTCTTCTCTCTCTCCACCCCCACTACCTCCCTTCTTCCTCCTCCTCCTTCTATTACTCCTCCACTTTTTGTCCCTCCTCTCTCATTCCCATATACCTCCCCCTTTTTTCCATCTCCCCATTGCCCTCTACCCTTCTCCTCTCTCCTTTATTTCCTCTCTTTTCTCTCCATCTCACTCCCAACTCCTTCTTCCCCTACTCTCTTGTTTCTCCCCATTTTTCTTCCACCTCACCTTCCTGATCCTCTCCTCTCCCCCTCACCTCTCCTCCAACACACACCCATACTCTTCATTTTTTTATATTTTATAGTTTTATATTATTTCTAAACAACATTACAGTATAGGTTTATATACCCATGTACTTTATGGGTGATTTAAGGGATTTTCATGGGTAATTTTGCCTTTACTCGCCCTCTTCGGAATGTAAACCCGCGTAAGATGCGACATAACTATTTTTTTCAGAGATGGATTCACGTTCACAAAAAAAACAATCGTTATAGTTGCCTTTACGAACACAAACATACAAAGTATAGATTAATATTTTCAGTTCTTCCTCCATTACCTATACACAAAAAATTACCGTACAGTACTAAGGTCCTTTAAAAGTCTATGGTGACTGCTGGTATTATTATTAATATGTAATAACAAATTCACAGCATTACAATGAAAAAACACTCTACAGCATGACAAGAGTAAAAGGATATCTCCAGAGAGTATTTCTGCTGGAGTGCTAAAGATAAACTGTGTCTGCACTAGTGCACCAAGATTGTTAAAGAAAGAGGGTAAATATGTATCGTCAAATATTTTTTTTTTATTCCAGATCAGTGCACAGTTACTTTTTGGGGAGTCCTTGTGTTTATTGGAATGTTCAAAAAAGAATTATTGGACAAATAACTCTTCTGACAAAACGGTACTTCTGCTTATTTTAACAAGAGGCCTTAGCAAAAATATATTATTATACAGTACATACCTGTATTTCTAATCACAAGGGGAACCTTTTCACATATGCTTCTCACATTATTTTTCTTTTTTAAGAAATCCTTGGAATATCAACTGATCTGTCAAATATATACAAATCTATTTAGAAAATGCAGAAATTTTTATATCACCCATTAAAAGCTATATTTTTTTTATTTGTATCCTTATGTTACATAATAAAATATGTGAATCCTTGGCAAAATCCAGTTCAAGGGAAATATCTTTGAAATACCTGTACAGTGAGATAATCATCTGAGCTCTGTAAATAAGTAGACAATAAGAGCTATAAAAAAAAAAATTTGGAGTAATCTGTGTGTTTAAAGAATGCCATCAAACAATTCCTAGCATAAATAACCCTCTATTGAAACGAGTTTATACTAATGGTACGTTTACTGTACTATACATTAGTTACCTCCTATTTAATAAACAAAATGAGTGACCATAAGACATTTTTATATACTGTACCTAGTACCTGTACTGTAGTCAATTAAACAATAAAATTTGACGATCTACAATACAAAATTTGTATAAATCATTAAAAAAGTGAAATGTTGCATAAAATGGTTTTGAGGGATGAAATATATTTTATCTATTGGAAGGGAGGCCCTGTGAATATTCTTGAAATGCCTCTCCTGGCCATTCATGGGTTAATGTGCTAACTCCGCCCCTTCTCTGGTTTATATTCTGCTAAATAAGACTGCTTCCACCACTAGGATGAGCAATACTGTACAGTACAGTACTTATTATCCCAACTGTACATAAGACTCCTTCCCTCCACTACAGTATCTCTTATCCCTAGCTCCTACCAGCCCATGGCCTTATGAATGCTCATGAGAGCAGGAGCCTGTGAAGGATGGTCCACTAAGAAACCAATTCCATAAAGTTACATAAGGGACAATGCCAATAGCAAAGGGATATGGCCAGGCTGCCAAACACTGCTAATCTGTACAGCCTGCTCAAGACCCCATATAGCCTAACTTAGAGAGGATTTGCTGTTTACACAAACAAATTTATACTGAAAAATGGTGATTATAAAGGTTGGCTGACATGGTGGAGTGTGGGAATGTACTAGATGTGGAATTGGAATTTCTTAGCACTACCATGAATGGATTTCACTGAGGTGGACTCGAGGCCTAGAGCAACATAATTGTCCATTGCATGCTGATCAGCGTGAAAATGCAGTAAGACTTCTAATTTAGTACCCAAATTAATGAATTTCCTTTTCTGCTTTGAGGAAGGCATACCACTACAACTTCCTAGGTACTTTGCACTCATCCTAGGATAGTTTGTACTGCATGTGGAGAGATAATAAAGGGTATACAATAGATCCAAAATTTTCAGAGGACAAACACTCAGCACAACATGCAGTACTGGACTCGCCAGACCTTTACTCTAGAACAACTTAGGGTAATTTTCCAAAAATTACACATAATATCACATAAACTAAATCTACATTATTAAGTAAATTAAATAAATTTTCAAGAAAGCCCAGGAAGTTAATTACAGTATGTGATACTCCACTATCTCCACTGAATAGTGGTGGTGTTGGAAGCTCTGGGAGACGATGGCAAGGACAGATCCAGGGGGGGGGTCTGGGTCCCCCTTTTCATCAGGAAATTCCAATACCTTTCCTTTAATGCAGAAATGAACTCTGGCATTTTTGTAAAAAGTAATTACTTTTGACCTCAGAATATCTCTTAATATCAAGCACACATGGCCTCAAAATGTCCATGATATTGGTCCAATACCCACAACTTCATGGCCCACCCCTTTTGATATTCCTGGATCTGCCCCTGGATGGGGGGTTCAAAGCAGGGGGTGAAGGGTAGTTGGATTCAAAGCCTTCAATATCAACTGCAGAAATTTGTAAAGCAACTTCAGCTTTATCACCAATATCCAGGGTGGCAGAGTCATCGCCACTGGATTCTCCTTGAATTGTTGAGGCATAAAATAGGCAGAGAGAGAGTTTGGCGGTGGCGTTTAATAAACTCCTGATAACGTTGCCCGTAGGGTTCCACCAAATTGTCTAACTGCGCACTGAGTTCGTCACTGTGTTGCAGGCTGGGCTCAACACTCATTAAAGCATCCTTGAGTTCTTCAACATTGCTCACAGCTTGCATCACCTGCTGCTGAGTCATGCCTCCCTCAATCTGCTCTGGTACCGCCACACCACCAATACTGCTTTAGCTTGTTGTTTTATTTTGAAGTTAAATTATATACCGTACTTTGTTCTATTATTTAATATTGTATGTTATATTATTTATGATGAAACATACACCATACTAGGCTGATCATACGAGAAAATATTAATGAATAAATAAAAACAAACTAATGAATGAGGCAATAGGCCCCCCCCCCCCACCTCCAGCATGTTTAGACATGGTGTCATCTCTTGTTGATACCGGGGTCTATAAAATCAGTTCTAATTAAGTTACAAACACTTTTTTACCCAAAGAATCCTAATATTTATCTAAAGTTTGATTAAAAAAAAAAAAAAAAAAACTATATGATATGGCGTGCGAGGAGCATATACTGTACTCGGTTACAAGGGACAAAGGACAAGCGATCATTGTTGGGGAGGTGAGGGAAAAGTGATCACGTCAACCCTTCCTCCTGCACTACACCCTGCCTCTTCCACTCTCTCCTCCACCTCTCTATGACCTCCATAACTGCTTAAGTAAATAAGAACATGAATCAGGAATAATGTATGAGAAATCATGTAAAGAAATAGAGTACAGGTAATTAAAGAATAAAAAGAAAATAGAGATAAGAAAGAAATATTATGTCTGTGGGAAAAAGTAAATTTCTCCTCATTCTCTAATGTAACTGACCTGACCTGATGTAATATCAGGCCACCCATTGTCATGGTGGTTCTCATGATCTGAAGATGCCTTGAATAACGACAAAAGCAATATACAGTACGCTGTACCCTCGTTAATTTGTATTTTGGCTTAATTTGTATTTTTTCTAAATGAATAAATAATTTGAATTTGGGTTGAATCTGAAATAACCGTGCAGTTCCGAAAAGTCGATTATCATTATAGGAATATACATGTATATTGAAATAGATTAAGATGAATGAATTATAGGAATAAAATACGAATCATATTAAGATACAAAACTACGTTTGGGTATGTATATGAGGAGTGGCGGAGGAGGGAGGGAGGACACCTTCTGTTTGGCAGCCTGCGATCCCTTTATAAAGACAACATGCAATTTCACCATCATTCCTCTATTATTTAAGCTCATTTGGTGCCAAGCTTAATAAAACATTATAAAAAAATCACTAATTTTCCTCCCAAAATCCAACACTCAATCCCAGATGAGCTATTGTGGTCTCTTTTATACAGTACAGAGTGGTATCAGCTGATCTGTTCTGCTCTCCTTAACAATGATGCCAGCACTCACCATCTCTCAAGCACTGTCTTTTTCAGTGACCCAGAGCCCATTTTTTTTCGAATTAATCTAAATAATAATAATAATAAAAAAAAACTAAATTAATGCTATACCGCTACTTGCGTTATCCATTGATTTCTACGTAAGCTATAACTACGGTCATGTTTCAACCAATTGCGCATGCGTTGACCTTGCAAACGAGACCTGTGTAAGATGAGACCCCGCTATGTGTGTGTGAGATGTACAAATTCACTTACAAAAAATCAATAAGTTACCTTGAAAGTAATGTTTTCAAGTAGTTATATCTTTACATTCATTAAAATCAGCCTTAACATGAGCCAGAATTAGGTATCCTTAACAATTTTATATGGATTTATTTATAATATATCTATAATAATCAAATATTATGTATCAGCCAATAAGCTACCAGGGGGTTGAGGCTTGTACCGTCAGTTAAAAAAAAGAAAGAAAAAAAAAACTAAAAATATGAGTGTAGCTAAATATAAGAGTAGTTAAATGCAGTCTAATTAAATATGCAGTATGAATATAGTCACTATAAGTGTAAGCAGCCCCCCCTCATCCTCCACCTCTAGATTCATCTGCTACAATAAAAGTAAGTGCAGTGTAAAATGTATCCTGTACTGTCAAGTTTAGTTTTGTTTTTGGAAGGTATTTTTCAGCAAAATGATGCTTTCAGGGGGAAGTTAAGTTGCAACTTAGGCATAAAGCAGAATTCTAGATACTGTAAGACACAGTCTCTCGCCTGATATTGTCTGACTTGGGAAGGTTTTACTGTACTCAGCATCAATTTGGCACAGACTAATAAACAAATAAAGAATAGCAGCAATTTTTAGTGTTGTATTAAGAAGATAAAATGAAAAGTCCTGAGAGAAGACTATTGAAAATATATAAAAATATATCAATAAATAAGAAGGGTCACACACTATGCCATTGTATTTACCTTGCAACATGTGTGCACAGCATGCACACACACTTGCCCTCACATACACACAAACACTCTCCACACATACTTGTGCCCAAATACAGTGATAACCCCATTAGCCGGAACAATTGGTGCAGAGCACTTCCACGGATGAGAGATTTCTGGGTAACCGGACAACTTTCTCAAGCCCGGAAAAATTCCTTATCCCCGGAATCTTTTCCGGTTACTGGGAAAAGTTTCCAAGTTTCTAAACTGTACATCTTGCACAGACAGACACTAACCCACATCCCCAGAACGTTTCTGGGTGCTGGGGATGTTTTCCTCGAGTCTAAACCACTGGCGTCCATAATGCAGTTCTAATTAAGTTAGAACTCCATTTCCTTACTATAATAATCCAGCATAGTTTATCTAAAAGTTTGGTTAAATAAATATATTTAAAAACTAAAAATCTACATGATATGGGCATGAATGAAGCTGTGTGTTACAACAAAGACTGGTATTTTCCACTCCCAAGGAGCTGTGGGGGATTAGTGGGTCTGGTGTAACTGACCTGACCTGATGCAATGTCAGGTCGAGGTAGGATGGGGGATTAGTGATCTCATATTACAGTACTGACATTCTGATGGAAAGTCAGGTCACCCTTTGTTAGGTGGGAGATTAAGCAGGTTTCATGACCTGGAGATGTCGTGAATAAAGATTGTGATAAGTGTAAGTATAAATAAGCAAAGTTGTATCCCTTCAACATTACATTACATAACATTTTAAAATATGGAGTGAGAAAACAGAAATGTGTGGGTGATTAAAGAGATGGAGTGGTAACATGCACTGTATTGCCAAGTGCTTCTCAGCAGCTGATCTTATCTCGCCATCACACAGTCACACAAGACCCTCTTTCTGGATGCTTCTTGTCTTAACTCCTGTGTGTGTGTGTGTGTGTGTCAAGAACACATTTCAACAGCAGCAACACCACACACACTCTCTCTCTCTCTCTCTCCAGCACTGTGTGAGACACGGCGCCTTGCCTCATTGCTAACATTTTTTATTTGCCTGAATTCATTATCATATATTCTTGTATGATCAGCTTCTTATGGTGTATGTTTTATCACTGATAAAATAAAATATTAAATACTATAGAAAAAATACAATAGATAATTATTAATTTGACATCAAAATTAAATGACAAGCAAAATAATAAGGAAATTTCCCCCCAGACCTCTATGCACTGGGAGGGGGGAGGCGAGTAAGCCTAGCCATTACCAAGTTTCCCACCTTTTTTATTTATTTATTACAGTACTGTATATGAAGGGTACAGGTATTAATAAGCTCAAGTTATTACAGTAATATATCTTTACTAATTAATAAATAACAAATAAACAATATCGTGTTGAGTTACAGAAGGAATGACAGAGGCAGGGGTGGGGAGTGGGAGACGAACCTTTTTAGGGGGTGAGCGGTCAGTTTCTTCCCCCAAGGGTCTCTCCCCTTACTCCATACTGTATTTTAAAATGTTATGTAATGTAATTTTGAAGGGATACAGTGCAGGTATTAAATAGAAAAATTTGATATATAACTTATGATAAAACATTTTGTAAATTGAAAGAAATTGAACAACTCCTTCTGGTGGTAATGGTTTCCTCATAAATTACCGACGAGTAAATTATAGGAATAGAATATGAATTATATTAAGATATTGTACAAAACTATGTTTGGTGTATAGCCAGGGAGAGAAGGTTGGGAGGAAGGAGGACAACTCACCTCCTCCAGCTCGGCAGCCCGCGATCCCTCAAGAGGGTTGGTGCTTACCACAGGGTCTGTCTTGAGAACTGAGTAAATAATATTGTAGCGTATTTTTCAGAACTTAATAATTTTTTTGTAGTATATAATGCGTCACCATATGCCCTGGTTTATTCACTGATGAGTTGTCTAGGTGCAAAAGTAGCCAAAATGAGCCATCATGTATCAATTCATTTTAAAATAGGAATTATAAATTAAAATGTCATAAGACAATTGTTTGGTAGGGCTGTTAAGTGTGCGCTGTGTAAGTGTTTTGGCATGTCACTTCACCTACTGCCTCATCACCTCACCCTTCGCCTGGTCAGCTAAGCTTGGAATTACACAAACATTTTCATTCACATGCCAACACATACACATACATGTGAGGACACTTACTTGCACATACACACACACTCATGCATCCCCTTACCACACACACATTATAGTGCTCAATCGTACGGAAATTTAAAGAAAATATGGAAAAATTTTTATAAAAAAGAATAAAACTGAGAAGAATTTGAGCAGATAGCATTAAAAGCATAACAGCAAAGAGTAGGTAAGTGAGTGAGGTGTAATGTATGGATGTAAACAAGATGTACACTCAGTAAGAAATGTATCTTTACAATTCTTGGAAGAAAGAAAATAGCACCATGAACGAGTTTTTTGATAAAGGCCCATGAGGCATACTGTTATACACCAATCATATTACAAGGAACTAATTTTATATTTGGAATGAAAAAACTAAATTTAGACTACCATAATAAGTAGGAAATGTCTCACAATCATGCCTACCAACCCTAGCAAGAAAACAGGACTGTTCAGTTCGTAATTCATTGGAACCCCTCCCGAAAGATACTTTTTTTTACAGAGTGCACACATTACTTCAAGGGCAGTGAAGGCCATCTCTGTACTTCTGAGAACATTAATGACAATTATTGTTTGGTATGCTCACTATCTATTGGGGGCAGACTTGTGGGAATGTTAATGCTATTTGACATTATACTTAAATAACAAACTATTCAAGAAAAATTAAATCCTGTATGATTCCTTGAATATCGACAGTAAGGATTATATTCTAAGATTGCATTAACCACATCAATCATGGACATAATAAAATGGGTTAACCTGGCCAAGGGAAACAATGAAATGTTCAGAGTATCTATAATATTATGAACCCTAAGTACAGTTTTAGTTCTTAAATCCATCTTCCTTATGTAAGCAAATCTTGATGCTTATTACATTATAAACACTAACAAGTTAATTTAGTGAAATTTTTTTTACTGCTATTATTTAAATATACAACATTACATGAAGGACATTCCATTCAGCAGTAGCATCTTTAAAATTTGTGGTTGAGAGCTTGTATGTTTGTGTGAATTTTGAAACACTAGCGTCTACCAATTTAAAAAATTATATATGAAAATAAAGACTAGATTCATCAATATACACTCTTCTACCACCCATGTTACTTTAATGTATGATACGAGGTGCAGCAGCTATTCCTAATAATACCACTAATCTATCAACAGCGACTGTCCGGCCTCTCCATTCTCTCGGACTCTTGGGTCATTAGGAGTAAAAACTGCACTTCCTGAGGGAGTTAGTTCAATACTATCTTCCTCCTCATGTTGATTGGCCAACTGGTAACCAACTGGAACGCCGAGAGTTTTGCTACGTTGGGCAGCATATAAATTACACATTGATAAAAACAAAAAGAAGAGGCATACAAAACTAATTGTCACAAGGATATATGCATAAGAGTGAGAGTTGCCAGCCACTCTTGTTAAAAGTGAATGTGTAAGTGAATTTCCAAATGATGCCAAAACTATCATAAGAGCACACATACGATGAGTCACTCGCATGTACTGAGCCATCCATAGTAAACTTGTTGGTAACACTGGTGCCAAACCAATGGCCAGGAATATTACTCCACCCCATAAAAAGTCTTCTTTCCCGAAGGATCCTATTGCTAGGAATATCGATCCAATAAATGATAAAAGGATTGAAATTACGAGAAGTTTACCAGGTTTAAGGCGCAGACAGCCAGATACCAATATACAGAGAAATCTTACAAGACACACTAGTCCCCAAAACAGAACTTGACCATCCATTTTTGTTTCTTGGATAATTGCAAGACCTGTCCCTGTAGTTGATGAAGCCAGCAAGTGATGGACGGCCCCTTGCAAAGCTTCAGCCATAAACATAAAAACAGAGAAAATAATAGTGAATACAACAATTCTACCTTTCTGCATCTTGTTCATGTTGCCATCATCTTGCTTGGATCTTGTTTCTCTTGGATTATGACACAGAATCACAAGCGAAATTAGAGCATTAAGAATTATAAAAATCCCAATGCAAATGTAAGCTAAATGAACTTTGGTCACTCCGTAAACTTTAAGTCGTAGTGCCACATTGTCAAGGAACTGAGTATTTTCATCACTTCCATTGCTGAAAGTGTCAGGCTTCCCTGGAGGGCGACTTAATGATGGCATTTCTGATTTACCTGGCTCATCTGATGGAGTATTCATACCTGCTGGTGTACTTTTTATTGACTCTTTATACTCCAGCACCTTTGGTTCGTGAACATCTGGACTTGTATCATCTTGTTCTATGCGTTTCTTTGCTGTGCCAATATGATTATCATCATCATTATTATTATTGGCATAGTCAGTGTATTGCATAGGAAACTCAAGATCACTTACATTATCTTGGTCCTCACCATTAGAATATACTATTGGATAACGTTGTGGAGTGGGTGTAATAGCCACTCTTGTAACTGGGGTAGTTGAGGTGGTTGTAGTTGGGGACTGTGTTGTAGATGTTGTGGTTGAGGTGGTACTTGTCGAAGTCTGTTTTATGGTAGTTGTGGGAGAAGTTGGAGATAATTCTGATTTTTCTGTAGCCAAACTAGCTTCTTCTGCAGTATGGACAGAGGCACTATGCGTTTGGTTCACTTCTAATGCTTTAGAAGCTGAGTTAATTTCTACTGCATCAGAGAGAGATGAATTGTATGTCTGGTGCTCAGGAGCAGTACTGACTGTTTGTTGTGAAGAGGTTATGAGATGAGTAGTAACCTCAATGGCTTTTGTTGTTTCTACTACCTCCGCTTGTGATGCTGTAGGAGGGTTAGTGTCAATGTCTGATGAACTCGGGTTTGTAATACTTGGATTCAATTCTTGTTCCTTGTTTTCTCCAGGTTTAGGAGTATTTGACTTGGATTTAGAATCACTATGAGGCCTTTTCCACTCTTTGACTAAATCTGGCTTTAATCTATTTGCATCTGTGAAAGGGGGTTTCATTTTTGGTGTCTTCAAAGTGGAAGATATATTTGGCGCTATAATTGTTACTGGCATGACTGGGGTTGTTACTGGAGAAATGGATGTCTCTCTGTCATAATAATTGGTTGTAACAGGTAAAGTCAAGTTTACAGTATTATTGAACAGTGAAGGGATCTCATGGGTTGGGGCCTCTTTAGGATAAGTCAAATGCTTTATTTCTTCAAGAGAAATGGATGGTAAATCCAAAGAAAAATTCCTTAAACCACCTGCAGGAGGATCAGTATCCTGTAACTCACGAATAAACCTCATTACCTCTTTATCTGTAGAGGCCAGATCCTGTCCATCAGAGAGATTACTGTGGAGTCTGGTGTGCAGGCTTGCAAAAAATGGCTGGATGACAAGAGGAACTATAAAAGCTCCAACAGCAAAACTGAAATGCAGTGCCTGAAGAGAAGCTCCGCCCTGTCGCCCCCACAGGTCCAGACATAGGACATTCCCACCTGGAGAAAAAAGAAAAATAGATTGTCTATAAATTTGGTGGTTGAGATAAAGTAGTGAAGTACTATTACATTTTTATTCCAATCATGTCACTAAAAAAACTCTTTTGAAATGGCTAACACCATCTAAGGCTGAAGGAAATAAGTTGTCACATTTGCTGTGTACTCTGCTCTTCTCTGCTGTTCGGAAGCAACATCGAGATTCCAGATCAGTCCCAGCTACCTGTTTAACAGTTGCCTCTGTCAGCTTGTCCTCCAGTTTATGGAGATAAATAAGAATCTCTCCAAATTCTTTGCACTACAGCAGCTTTGCCAAGTGTTATGCAGTCCTCAGTGTTCATGTTAGTTACTTTATATGTAAGGAACAGTTTGTTTCTGTTATTTTTACACTGCAAGAGTACCTTCTGTTTTGCCTTATGGCTGGGAGAACTGTTGTCACCGACATTATATCAAGGAGAGAAGTCTTTTGATGGTGTGTAACCCAGTCAATTTTATTAAATACAGTATTGTAGTTTGTTTACTTCTGAACAGGTACGGCATAAAGATTTTGAAAGGCATTCTTGGGGGTGAAATGGCCCACATACAATATATTATTTTCCTTTCTTGGATTTATTGCATGTCCCCCCAATGTCTGAGACAGAATGTAGACATTGTAGAGGGATATATTAGAAACCATGTTATGGGGTGTCAGGTTGGATTGTTTTCAAATACTAGTGCAAAAAAGTTTGTAGTAGTTTACACTGATTTACCTTAATAGGTTTGCCTCAGCACTGTTTTTTCCCAGCCATTGTCCTCTTTACCCGAAATCTATTCTTGGTTACAGTTTTGAACTTTTGAACTCACTAAAGGAGGGGAGTAATAAGACGAAATGCCTTTGATTCCACCCTAACTAACAGTTGGACAGAAGAAGAGCAACCCCAGATATGAGAGCAGTACTCCAAGTTAGGATGAATGAATCCCTTATATACTTGGAGCAACTGCTCAGGAGTGAAGTAGTTACGGCATCTGTACAGCATTCCCAACTATCGGGAGGCAGCTTTAGCATTGCTGAGGATGTGTGGCTTCCATGACATATTAGAGGAAATGGTGAGGTCTAGCATATCTATTTTAGAATTTGGCAGAATGATTGCTTCCTAAAATGTGACTGGTGTCACAGACTTCTTAATTGACATTATAATAAAAGCACAACTTTATATCATTATACTGTTCATAAGAAGTCTTATATAAGAGGAAAACTGTACTAAGCTCAGACTGACAAGAGCTGGGGAACTTCTCCAAAATGAACTTAACTTCAGTAGGAGAGGAACAGGGGTGTCTGGAGAATATGTGACTGGCTGGTGACACAGGTGTACATGGATAAGGTATGCAATTTATGCACTTTGGATACCTCAGGGTTGTGATTTGTTAAAATATTTGGTGCCATACATAAGACAAAAAATGAAGAGTTAATAAACAAAGAATAGTACAGATGAATTAAGACTGCAAAGGAGAAAAGAAATACAAAATATGTCAGAGAAAGTTTTGATACAAAATAGAACATGACAATTATACAAGACCTAAACTGATAAGATAAACCTAAGAGACTAGATAAAGTCGGCAACAAACACTATAACGATGAATTCTCACATCCATTACAATTTTCTAAAACAAACAAACTTACCTGTAAAGAGGAATCCAAGACCCATGCCCAAAGAGGCAGTTGTGGTGAATGTCCACCAGAGGGCAGTTGGGACAGTGAAGGGTAATACTGTCACTGACACAGCCACCCATATAAGACTCACAAATATCAGGAACTGACGGTTGTACACCTCAAATAACAGTGAACCTGCAGGATATGGAAATTGTTTTCACTTTTTAACAACATTGTTCCCACAGCAAATATTTTGTGAAAGAAAAATTTTTTCCCTTAATAAAATAATACAAATTTTTCCTTTTTCTTGTTCTACAGGTATATCAACAGTATCTTCCCAAACAATACACAATGTCTGCTGAGCTCACCAATTTTCACAATAGAAACTATCAACAAAGCGGATGGCTCAGAATCTTTTCCAAATACAGTGCTGTACTGTACAATGAACTCTCGAAGATTCAGACCTGGTAAATCAGGATTTCAGAAGATTCTGACAAAATTTGGGGATTCCGGAGGCTAAGAAGCCTCCCCTAGAAGATTTCCCCAAACAGAGCAGAGATCATCTTAGGCCCATGTAACTAAGATGTCAGCGTGCTGGACACAGGTGCCCGAGGAGGGTAACATGAACAGAGTTGACAATTGTTGTTTGTGGGAATATTATTTCATTCACTCAAGTAATGATACAATGTTTATTATTATGTTATCGTAGGTAAGTGCATGGTTCATATAATTTGTTTATCATTCTGCCTGTCACCATTTTCACATTAGACTACAAGATATGTATTTCTCCCATACATATTTCCATCACACGCCTGGCAGTGAGTGACCATTAGTTAGTGTGGTCTGCTCATGTAACTCTCCTCCCTCCCTGCCATACTTCACTGCATTCACTGATATTATTAGTGTTTACTGATATAATAGTGCTTAATAGTGATTAATCATGGCATTGTAGACTCTTCCCTGTAACCACCAGGCTACTGGGTCCAAGCTGTGGGATTATTGTTGTTTCTCGACTCATATTTTCGGGTAGATATATGTAGCTTTCTTCATTTATTTTTACTCAGTTACATGCACACACCATCCTACATACATACTGTATTGTGAAAAAAAGTCAAAGTAATAAATATCCTAAGGGCAAACACATAACGGGAGGAGAGCGCAGAGTGTAGCTGGTGGGGAGTGTTGCTTGGGAATCGGCATCCCAGCTGGTCTTCGTTACTATGGTGAAGCAGGGAGTGTTTGCAAATAGCAACTGTGTTAAACTTTCACTTGGCTTTTATTTACTGATTTGGCAATACAGTACAGTATGAATTTTGTAACTTATTTATTGATATTATTTTTATTTATTCCTCACATTTACTGGTACTGTATACAGGTATATTATTTTAAGGAAACTATGGCTTCAGGAGGAAAATACTCACAAAAGTTTTTCCTCAATACTCCCTGCTAAAGTGGGAGCACCATGTCTTATATGCCATAAAATATGGTACTGTAGTTTTGGTGGGTTTTTTATATAATTATTTATCATTTTTATACATTTAGTACATTCGATGGAAGATACAGGGTACAGACAGTTGGTTTTTTTTGGACAGATGGTCCCCATTTTTAGTCCAGATCTTCGAGGGTTCACTGTACTAGATTTTAAACAAGCAACTGCAGCCCGGTGGAATTGTTATTCTAAAAAAAAAAAAAAAAACGAGGGGGCACTAACCTAAGATTCCTCCAAGCAGCATCCCAAAGGAGCGGGCAGTGAAGGTGTGGAAGGCTGTGTCTACTGACGTCCCAACAACCAACTCCATTTTTATCAAGGGTTCCCCACTCACAGACATACACAGCCCCTGGATATTTTTTAAAGAAAAGATTGCATAGAAAATAAATCTTATCTTTAGTAGCTATATACAGTTTCAATTATGACATGCCTTTAGACCAATTCTCATATGGAAACATCCATTAAAATATACTGTACATACCAATGGCAGAAGGAATTGCACAGATACAGAATAACTTCCTACCCTGCCCGCCTGCAAATAATGACCAAGGAAACACAAACTTGGTGAGTCAGGCCCATAAGACTTTATCTCCTCCTTAAATAGCTATTTTTTCTCTATAAATGTATTTCCTACCTTCTCTACTCCTTAGCTCCTCTTCCATCAAGAATTGTTATACAGTATCTTCAAAATATTCCTACAACCTACTTAAATATCCCTCCTATTTTCATTTCTAGTCTTCCCCCTTGATCTTTCATTTTACTTTTAGTCATTTCTCCTCCACCTTTATCTTTTGTAGTTTTAATACATGCACACTCATTAATTTCCTAAAAATTACCAGCTTAAAATTTTTCCTTATTCCACAGACCTTTCCTTGAATCTCTCAAAAATTTCTCCCCCTCTCAATATTCTATTTTCTCCTCTTCCACTCTTCTTCTGGTACATTTTATTTTGAAAGGATTTTATACACCATTCTCTCATCCTTTCATTGCCTCTTTTCATTTATGAATTCCACTATGAATTCCCTCTTTTATTTCTAACTACTGTAAATTCTTTTTTTAAGCAGGCTCTACTGCCTCATTTATTTATATCCTCACTGTTATCCCCCAACAGCTCATTCATGTTCCCATCATATTCCTTCTCTTTTGCAGCTTCATCTAATTCCCCCAGTTTTTGAATATTCAGTACTGTATTGTACTACTGTACTGTATTGTTCAATCTTAGCCTCTTCCAACTGTTCCCAGTTTACTTTCATCCCTTTTGTTTTGCTTTATATTAGAAATTTATAGATAATAACTACATAAAAAACTGGTCATTACAGCATTAACAATAAAGTTTGATATTACTCACCAATCCAACGAAGGCTGTGCAGAGAAACACAGTCCTTATAAAGAGCATAAATGTTGGCAAGAATCCCACAGTGGATTGCTGACGAGAGCGTGGCATTTTCCCACCCAGTAAGCCAGTCTCATCAAAAACAATATCCTCTTCAAAAGGATCATTATCTTCTGTGTGGTCTGCCATGGCAACCCAGCGTTTGAACTGTCGGTAAATTGTGAAGTGGTCCAAGGGCTAATTCTCTCAAATCTGAGGCTCAGCTGCAAGGTAACAGCAAAGAAAAGCTATTAATAAGAAGTCTGATAAGTCACTAAAAGGTACAACACAAAATCCCTCACAAAATCTGCACACATCAAAAATATACATCAGTTAGTCTAGAGAAGACACAAAACATAGGATGGTCAAAAATCAAATTAAAAGATGGAGGTTCATGGGGGCCAAAGAGATGACAATGGTCAAATACTCAACATTTTGGGATTTAAGAACTTTATGGGTTTTTATGAGATGCTAGTGGAATTATATTGGTAATCATGAAGCCTGTGAGTTGTGTATGAAGAAGGCCAGCTATAATCCTCATTATTTATTCTAAACAATGCCAACTATTAAGTGATTATGATGCCAAAAATCACAAGACATTCATTACTAAATCATCATTCTGCCATCACACAGCTGTACTCAATTGCTTACCCAATAATGATATTGAATTTTTTTTTACCTGAAAAATACAGGTTCAGTGGAAAATAACAACAATATTGACATGGCTGAATCAATTGAGAGCCTGAGCTCGCTTAATGGCACGTGATATTATATAGTGCATTTATCTCAAGGAAGTATTATTAGTACATTTATCTCGAGGAATTATTATATAACATTTAGTATCATCTGGATTAGTACAAATGTAACATAGTGTTAGTAAATACATATGAGAATGTTATCATGATTACAGGGGGTCCCCGACTTACGAACGTCCGACTTATGAATGAGTTTCACCGGTGCGTTGTATGCTGCACAAATAAAAACAAAAATAAGGACCTGATATTTCATTACTTCCGAAATGGCAAGAAAAGGTAAGTAGCTATATTTAGTATGCGTAACACAAGCTTAAGCCATACTGTATTTTGAAAAGCAAGCAGAGAAGATGTGAGTAAAACTCATGAACCAAGGCTCATTTTCAAAAGTACACAAAATGGTAATGTTATAGGACAATCGACTTTTTCAGACAGGTGGTCCCCCCTTTTAGTCTGGATCTTTGAGGGTTCACTGTAGACCTGCTTCTAGAGCTGATAAGGTTTCATCTATCAATGCAGATCTGTGCAGCATCTCCGAATGGGGAGGTAGAGACTTGGTTAAATTCACCAGTAATTAAACACAGTATTTACCAAATACAATTTCCAAAATAGAAGATCTCCCACCAATCACATTTCAGGATGCAATCATCCTGTCAATTCTAAAATAGATATGTTTGACCACTCATCCACAACACTGCTAAAGCTGCCTCCCAAAAGCTGGGAATGCTGTACAGATGCAGTAGCTACTTCACCCCTGTGCAGTTGTTTCAAGTTTATAAGGGATTCATTCGTCCTAACTTAAGAGTACTGCTCTCATATCTGGGGTGGCTCTTCTTCTGTTCATCTGTTAGATAGGGTGGAATCAAAGGCATTTCGTCTTATTGCTTCGCCCTCTTTCTTTTACAGGTACTTTAACGGGCAATGTTCGGTGGATTTGGCATCCTGTGTATCGCCGGCAAGGTCATGAGCTGGTAATACTCGCCTGGCTGCGGTGCCCACCAACTGTCTGTCACACCAGAATAACCCATTATAGTACATCCTTCTTTCCTCACACAGCCAAACTGTCTCTCTCCATAGTACCTCATCCTTTATGCCTGGCTGTCAGGGGGGGGGGGTTCCTATGGAGTGGTGTCCGGACCCCCTCTTTTCGTCAGAAAATTCCAATACAGTATACTGTATTTACTTTAATGCAGTATTGTACTTAGACATTTTAGTACTGTAAAGAATAATTACTCTTGACCTCAGAGTATCTCCGAATATCAAATGCACATGGCTTCAAAATGTCCATATATCGGTCAGAATAAAAAACAAATTCTAGGGGGAAGGGGGGTTACAGCACCATCCCCTAGACCGCCCCAGCTGGGTGGGCTAGCTTTGCTCGCCATGTTCTCCTACCCACAACTTCTTGGACACCCCCCCCTCCACCGCCCTTTGATATTCCTGGATCCGTTCTTGCTGTCTGTTCTATAAATTTTTTCTTGTCTGGTTAGATATCTCCATGGGTACAGATGGATGCTCTCACATCCACAAAAAAAAAATCAAGTTACACCATATCATAGTAAGTTCTTTTCGTTTAATATACAGGGGGTCGAAGCCCAGTGGCTAGGAAGTTAGCTAAGGTTAGGTAGGTTTGTTTGGTTAAGTTGGTGAGGTCTTCTAACAACACTTCTGCAGCTTGTTTTTTATATCAACTAAGGTTAGGTTAGGTTTAATTTACAAATGACCACTTTTAACACATTTGCACAAACTACAAGTGTCCACAATATAACAGCAAAATTGCAGAGTTTTAACAATCATTTTTTAGGGGAAAATCGGCCGCGGGTCAGTCATCAATGATTATCTACACCTTTACCTGGACCACCAAACTGATCTTCAATTACCTTATCATTTCCTTACTCCCATATCACTAGGTAATACGTATTTGGCTCTTAATATACATCACGCCTATATATAAACACTTATATAGATAAATACTATTTTTTAAAGTAAATATGACGTACAGATAAATATATCTGGCAGACAAACCAAACACATTGATAAAAATAACAAAAATGAACCTTGACCTGTCTTAAGAAATTCAATACATCCACCTTAACTACGTACTAACGAAAATTACTCCAGCTTTTATAACCATCTGAGTTTTAGACATACTCACCTAGGTAACATGTAATGCATAAGCCCTGGATAAAGAGGTATAATCTTGTGTTATCCTGACCCCTGGAAGGACCTGAAGATGACACTCACTTGGCAGCCACTGGATCATGAGCGTCGTCTGCTGCTCAGTCCTCACCGTTCATCATGATCCACACCGGATTCTCGCCACCAACCATAAATTGATAAATATTCAAGTAAATCGTCATATAAGTTCACGTTGGTTCACTAGAAAATGTCGTACACGTTCACAGTGGTTCAACATAGATGGTGATGGAAGTACATGTATATCGATTTGATTCAACCAAGGATAGCCCAAGAAACCAGCTAAAAACTTATTTCCGTTAGGTTCTATAATTTTGTTTATTAAAATTGTGACAGGGTATTAAGATAATCAGTAGTTTCTTTTAATAAATCAGTATTTGTACTTATTCTGATATAAACAATCAATAATTCTTATCTGCATTACCATAGATATCATGAACTACGGTACGAAAAATTGCGACATGTTTCCTTCAATATATTTATTATTTTTTGTAACTTTCATTCCGATAAAAACTGAATAACAGCACAGGGAAACTTAAACTAAGTGTTTTAACTCCAGTAATTATCAATCAATATAAAATAATTTTTTTAATGTTCACAAAAAAGGTGCATTCTTACAAAAACACACTGACATACATACAATTAAACTAGTCACAAGTCACCCTTGTCTAAATCCGTCGCTGACTCCCCTCACGACCTCCCTCCCATCGTTATAAACATGAGGAAGGATTATTGTGGGTTGGGAGGAGGGGGTGAGTAGTTAGGTCCAAATTAATACAACTCATGTTGTATTGCTTCCCTCCTTTATCATATTAATTTCTTTGGTTCCCCCTCTCCCCCTACCTCTACTCTCCTTCCTTTCCCTAGCCCCCATCTCTCTCTCTCGGCTAACGAGCCGATCAGTGGTGAAGAGGATAAAGGATTCTCCATAGCAGAGCTGCCGCTCTCACTGGGTGGAAGTCGGGCATGGTGAGTGCTCGCCATATAATAAAAAACAAGTGGGGGGCGGCAATATCGCTCTCAATAATAAATTTGCATTGGATCTCCTCCAGTATACTGTTACCTGTCACATTAACTTTGCCAAAGAGAGACAGAAAGAAAGAAGTAAAGGGAGATAAATAGGCGCAGAAAGAAGGACAAGGAGACAATAAGACAGATGTATGGAAAATATAGAAAAGAGACTCAGAGAAATCTTTCAATATCTATTACAACGCAAGAAATACGTCACAAGTTGGCATGACACTGTCTCTACTGTGCATCACCAGTCACCACACTATTATATTGCCGAAAAGTGTGTGTGTGGGGGGAGTTGGGGGGGGGGGGGTACAAATTGGTTGCGCATGATTGTGCGCAGTTGGGTAACATGTAAACGAGGAACACATTACTCAATAAGTATTAATAAAGTTAATTTCAATGTTGTTATTGTTGTTCTTCTTATTATTATCATTATAAGCCTCAACTGTTATTATCTGGGTAATATCATTCTCTCAACGTTACAACATCGCACCGTCGCAGCGCTACACACACTCACACTACTAGATTTCAGTAAAGTCAAATGAATATCGTATGTGCATAATTAGGGTCATAATGCTCGTGAAATATGACTCACGGCTGGCCCACACTGACGCATACTGAGGCTGTGTAAAGAGGATCTCACAGCTGTTGTTTACTTGGGAAAGATCCCGGATTTGGGAATAACATACATACAGTATATAAATTGTTGTCTTGAGGGCCATCATTTTCAACAGGCACTTAATACTCAATCAGTCCCTAATTTGGGAATTCCCCGTAACACACACACACACACACACACAAGTATGGACCAAGCCCCGTCACGAAAACAATCAAGCAGTATAGCATGGCGCTAGAACTTCGTGTTAATGGTTCAACTCACTTGGAGTCGTGAGAACACCTCTGGCTGACCCTCAAGGCGTTTCATTGGCAAGTGTTGATGTGGGTGTGGTGTGCAGGCAAGCTATGGCGTGTGTGGGTGTGGACTTGGGTGGGTGTAGGTGGATGTATGACTCACTTTCTCCCCCGCAGGTGAGTCAAGCAGGTGGGCGACCTCTCACACGCCCGGACCGGAAGCTGCTATACCTAGTAATGTGTACAGTTTGCTTGAATGTAAGTGTCGTACACATGTAAACAAACACATTTGCATACATTCATACACAACACATGCGTGTATACATACATTCACGTTATTAATTTATTTTTCCCTCGATTACTCTCTTTCTCTTTCCAGACTTGACCAACACTGGAGCAGGTTCAGGTACATTCAGGAGCCGGTGCATGCCCAGTACTTGTCAACAGTGCGTAATAGAGACGTGACTGATCGCCCAAGCGGCTAACGAGCCGATCAGTGGAGAAGAGGATAAAAGTAAAAAGTAAAAGTATCTCATACACTCCTTTTCTCTCTCCTTCTCTCTATCTCTCTCACTCTTTGTATCTCATACTCTCCCTTTCTCTTTCCCTCTCTCAATCTCTCTTACTCTTTCTAGCTCATACTCTCCCTTTCTCTCTCACTCTTTCTCTCATACTCTCCCTTTCTCTCTGTTGTCGTCTGGTCACGCCCCACTCACCCATCCTTCACCCTCCTATAGTCTTAAAATATCGTTAGTGTTGTTACTTCACGCTGGTGCCCTACACTAGCTCATCCCTGACCCCCGAACTGAGAAGTGATTTCCAGCACCACCTAAGTGGGGATTCCCACGGACCCGCCCACTCCAGAGGTTCTCACGACGTCAAATATCAATAGGTGGTAATTTCTCCGGATAAAAAGTGCAATATCATTTACGTGCTTTTGGTAGAAGACGAAGATGTGGCCTCTCTCTCTCTCTCTCTCTCTCTCTCTCTCTCTCTCTCTCTCTCTCTCTCTCTATATATATATATATATATATATATATATATATATATATATATATATATATATATATATATATATATATATATAGAGAGAGAGAGAGAGAGAGAGAGAGAGAGAGAGAGAGTACATTATTTTTGCAACCCTTTTCCAGCTTAATACAAGGTGGTCGGATTCGAAATCAAACACACACACACAATTTCCCTTTCATTCGATGAAAAAGGAAAGAGACAAAATACAGGAAGTAGCGTAAGTGACACAAGGAAAATATAATTATAGACACTCAAACAGACGGATACATAGACAGGCAGACAGATGCAGCATCGTCATCATCACACCATGACCTGTCCTAACCTCCAGGGTGGCCCCGGGGAATGCCACCTGCCACGCCCCGCCACCAAGGCCCCTCAGGAGCTCCAGTAATTATTGGAGCTCCTCCCACGCTAATTCCTAATGTTTGCTTCTGATGGTGTAAGATTATACCTCTGGAGGAGAAAGGCACCTTCAGTAGATGTACAGAAAGTAGTGATCGATAGGATGACGACACACACAAATCATATATATATATATATATACTTTTACTTTTATCCTCTTCACCACTTTATGCGAATAAATACCCGTTGATACACATGATCCCTGTATATGCTGATAACCACTAAGGAAAAAAAAAACACGAATTTCCTAAGCGCTCTCGTGCTATTTACAGTCACCTAACTAATAGTAAACGTAACGCTGGCAGGCAACTAAAAAGGTATAAGGATAGTCTTATGACAAACCTGTAAAAGTGCCAAATCGACCCCCTCACCTGGGAGACGATTACTTCATATCGTAACGCTTGGAGGAGCACCACACGAGGTGTCAATCCTTTCGAATTAGCCCGACTGCATACCGAGGCGGACAGGTGCCAACGCCGGAAAGACACTGCCGCCGCCACTGCCGCACTAGATGTAAACCCCCACACGTGCAGCATCTGTGGACGACACTGCCGGTCCCGTATCGGTCTTTCTAGTCACCTCAGAGGTCGCCAATGAAGGTGGCATCCTTAATAACTCATATCATTGGATCATAGCTGGATGATCGTCGTACTCGATTCCGTGTAACAGGAAAGTATTAGTATTACTGTGTGTGAGGTGCAGGAGTTATGCAAATGCGTAGTTATTATTGCCCGAATATTTGACTGCCCAGGAACGTCGAGGTGTTCATTTGGTATATGTGTAGAAATCTGATGCTTCGTTTTCCTTGAAATAACTGACAGTCACTTGATTTAACTGTTGTTTTCACCGTATCTGTTATACTGCATTTATATCTTCTTTTTTAACTGCTTCCTTTGGCCTCATTGTGGAGTCTGGCGATGTTTAGTGGTGACTGTTTTTAGGTTTAAGATCTGAATTGCCATCACTAGTACTCATCATTTTCATGTTCTTGAAATATAAGCAATATAATTATTCATTACATTAGCATGTTTAACCTTACTCTGATGGGTAGCTTATCCAGCACTAGAAAACGGTATAAAGAAGTGTGTCGGAGATTATCCCAGATGCATTTTGGACAATAAATTTTGTTAAATGACAAATCTTGACAAAATTACTCTATTGAAGAACACTCGCCCTTTACAAACATCTGAGTAATATTTGTTCATAAAAAAAAAATCAACCACTATTTCATAAACAGAAGTTGATATAAAAGTAACTGTCATAATCATTACTGAAATGATATGGGGAATTTTCACACACAGTCATAAGAATTTTTTACTGCCAACATGATCATAAGTCACAGATTTGATGTTTTAACTGAAAATAAAATTGATTAATGTCAAACAGTCATCCTCATCTTGTGTTTACCCTCCTCACATGATTAAATAACTGACGAGATGAAGTTCCTGGATATTATCGTCGTCAATATGTGTTACTTCCGACTCTAATTTGTTAAACTAAGTTATTGGTTTTATCTTGTTGTTTCTCCTCTTCTTCTACCTTCAATTCTTCTAATGCCATACCCACTTTTCCTCTTGTTTATCATTCTACTCCTACTTCTTCTCATCATCACCGTCAGTTCGTGCCCTTTCCCGCTTCCCATTTCTCTTTCTTCTCCTATTCCTACTGTTTATCCTGTTCCCCCTCCTCTTCTTCGTTACCCCAATAACCTTGACTACCAGGAACCATAAAAAAAATATATATATATATAATTGGTGTCAGAGTGAATGATGATTCCTCAGTACATAACGTGAACAAGAGCGATGTAATGCCGGAGG